GTTTTTACGGCTATTTGTAGAGCTATGCAACCTTTTTTTTCAAAAATTTTTGCCTGCGGCGCTGTTTTTTCGGCAATGTTTTGAGGTTTTCGGAAAAATTTTTTGGGGGCCCCCCCCGAAATTTTTTCTGGCTACGCCCCTGTCTACAGTACCCCCAAATGTCAACAGGAGTCTCCCGGAAAATGGGAAAAATTAAGTGCTCAGAAATTTTCGAATCTCGCTAACTTTTTGTAGTTTGCCGCTAGAATTCTAATTCTTTGGGGAATGGCTAAACTGGCAGGGGAGACTACAGGCTACAATCTTTTTTGCAGTTTTAAGGCAAGGGCAGGCTAGCAGAGGCCATTTGGGGAACTCACCATCCTCAGTAGTCGGCGCCTCAGTCGTCGTCCCTTCAATATCAATCGGTACAGTAAATTCACCGGCCGCCATATTGAGCAGAAATAGGCAGAAGATGGCAACAAGTGGCCGGGAAGTAATTGTCATTTTGAGGGGAAATTGACGATTTCGGGGAGTGGGAGGGAAAATGCGATATTTTGGGTTTTTTCTACTGAAAAATGCTTCCCGAATGCAAATTTGTCTTTGTAAATTTGTTAACTAAATTTTGCTTCAAAAATAAAAAAAATCAAGCCAATTAACTTAAAACGGAATTCCGCAAATGGCCTCTGCGATCTGGCCCAATTTTTTGGAAATTAAGCAAATCCTCAAAAATGGTAGCATTTAATTAAATTCTTAAAATAATTTCTTTTGCATTTTTAGGCGTGTTTTAATGAAAAAAATACGCATGGCAACGAGAAATTAAAGATTGAGGGTTTTTTAACAAAAATTATGTTTCATAAAAACGTATAAAGAAAAAGGATTCAGATTAAATTAATTAGAATGTACGTATGTACAAAATTAAAATTAATGAATGTACAAAATTAAAATGAATAGAAATTTAGACAAAAGAAAATGCAAAAACCATTTTTGAGGAACAATTTTTTTATAAAATTATGTTTCATTAAATGCCTGTTCACAAAACATTTTTCAGGAATATAATTTTAGTAGCGATTTTGTTGATGATAACCCTTGCTTTTTGCAATTTTTAAGTTTCACAAAAGCCGAAAATTCAGTGTACAAGCTGTGAAATTAACTACGTTTCATCGAAAAATACAGTGCAAAGATTCTGGACGTAATTAGTCATTGTAAATGTAAAGGAAAAACCAAAAACTGGGATTTTTTTGAAAAATGATGTTTTATGTCTAATTAAAGACCACGATGATTTTCCTGTATTTAATACGGGTGTGTCCATGATATTCCCTTGCTTATTTAAACGAATTAAAAATATGCAATACGATTTCTTTTAAAAATGATGTTTCGCAGAACAATCAATAAACGAAAAATCGTGCCGAATCTAATATCTCTTCCATAGTTGGCGAAAATTCCATGCCAAACCTTGAAAATTCATATAAATAACACACTACAGCAAAAATCTGCTTTGCAAAATGGTCTCTGAAAATTCTGTTTCATAGAAAAATAAGGACAGAACTATATCAACCACAGTTTTTCCGCATTGAATCGGCGGTATTTTTTTTGAAGAATATTTCACATCTTTTGACGCAGTATTTGAGCGTATTAAATTCTTAAACCGTGTTGGAATTGGATCCTAGAAAATGATGTTTCGTTGAAAACCTGATAATCGAAATTTTGTTGGGAATTTAATATGAGTCACTCCGGTTTCGAACCCTTTTCAAATATTTCCAAGATTTATCCCAATTTTTTGCGAATTCGTTGTGAGATTAGTCTGTTCTTTCAATCATTCTTGTTTTGTACCTTTTCCGGTAATTAACTGAGCATTTTATTGCATTAAAAATATCTTCAACCTTTTTGTAGCAATTTATTGGTAAAAATATGTTTCATTGAAAACCTGATAATTGCATATTTTTTGTGAATTTACTTGCTTGCCATTTGGATCTAGATACCTTTTTTTTTGCAAATTTCGATGATTTATAGATTTGGCAACATCGCATTTTTTTCCGCCTTGAATGGGCGGTGGGCTGCTTGGCTAATCATTCACGTCCTCAACGATTTTAGTCAGTTTAACGCAGCAGTGGTACAAACTTTTTAAACAATTTTGATGCACTTTTATAAAATATTTTTTTGGTTGCAAACAGGGACGTAGCGTAATACCGGCCCCGGGGCCCAGGCTCCCGAAATCGGCCGGGGCTCGAAAATTTCATAAGGGGGGACCCTTATGATTTTTATTTTCTCAAAAATTTTGCTGCCTGCCGCGCTATTTTTTCACGTTTTTACTGCTATTTATCGAGCTATGTAGCCTTTTTTCCAAAATTTTTCGCCTGCGGCGCTGTTTTTCCGTTAATTTTTTGAGTTTTTCGGAAAAATTTTTCGGGGCCCCCCCCCGAAATTTTTTTCTGGCTACGCCCCTGGTTGCAAACCTGATAATCGCAATGCTTTTTTGATGATCGTCATCAAAATTAAGATTGCAATTTTTAATGTTTCATAAAAGAGTGAATATCGCTGCTGCTTTGCGGAATGGATGCGAGTTGTTTGGGCTAGCTCAAATTCACACCTTGAACGATGTTTTTTTAAAACAATTTTGAGGCTCTTTTCTAAAATGATGTGTCGTTGAAAACCTGATAATCGCCCGTTTTTTGTGTATTAATTTGGAGTATACTGAGTTGATAATCCACGCTTTTTCCAATGTTTCATAAAACTCCGAATTTCGCGATTGTGATCCGCATTGAATCGGCAGTGCGTTTTTTACCAATAATTCGCATCTTTTAATTCATTTTAACGTCTCATTTTGATGTTGATTTAATGTTTTAAACCCTCTTGTATTAATTTTTATCATTATATGTTGCATTAAAACAGGTTAATCGCGAATTTTTTGAAGATTTAATTATACCAATATTTAAGACTTGAAAATTCACACTTTTTGCGAATTTTTATGTTTTATTAAATGTTCTTTCTAATGATTATTGTGCACATTAAATTGAGGCTCCTATCCGAGGGTAGTAATTAACACCTTGAACCATTTTAGTCATTTTAACGCAGCAGTTCAGTTGATTAAAATTTTGAAAATTTTAATTATTCCTAGAAAATTAGGTTTCAGCCACTTATTTTGGCATAATTGTTTTTAAATTACCATTCAAAAGGATTTTGCGATTTTCCATACCAAAAATTGTTGTGAAGCGGATTTTCATAAGCTTCGAAAATCCAGCAACTGATTTTTTGCTTGTGTAAAAATGTTGCATAAACGTCGAAAACCCCGAATTTCTTGGAGGCCTCAATTTGTCTCTAAACTCGCGGTGGTGACCGAGATTTTACATCGTTAAAACTTTAAAATCCGAATGAAACTGGCGGTTTTGAAGAAAAGAAAATTAGCAGTGCCGCGTTTTCCGAATTCGATGTTTCAACAAAGCTTAAGAATCGGAAATCTCGAAAATGCTTATTGTATATTGGTTAAGGGATAAAATACTCGTTTTTCCCGGAATTTTGAACCTGTTTTTCAAAACCGAATTTTAAACATGTTAAATTTAGATGTCAAGGTTAAATAAAGTACATGTATGGAGCGAAAGTGAAAAGTTTTTGTAAAAAAAAATGAATTTTTGGCATTTTAGTGTTTCAGCAAAACACCAGACTCAAAATTTTTCCAAAACGCTAATCCAGTCCAACCAGATACTTTCGAACCAGATGAAAACCCGCTTTGGCGCATTTTTTTTGCTTTTTTAGGATTATGTCCCAAATTTAGTTGCCCTAACAATTTTTCCCGAAATTCGATGTTTCAACAAAAATTAAAAAACGGAAATTTTAGAATTATGTAATGTGTTTAGGCGATAATGACGCAAAATTTATGATTTTCCCTGAATTTACACCACCGATTTTAATTTACCCGCATCGCAGCGAAAAACCGCTTCGCGGCATTTTTTGATGTTTTTAGGGGTCTAAGCCCATTTTCCAAGTTCCAGCCACCCTTGAATTGCCTGGAAAATTTGCATAATTTTTGTTTGCTTATGCCATCTGGCGGTCAGGTAAGTTATTCCCCCCGTTTTTTTTTGCAAAAATTAACTTTTTACGGGGCAGGCTGAGCAAATAAAATCTGATGGTATAAATGGGCCAGTTTCACTTAGTTTAAATTAATATATTAAATTTTCATTTAGTAAAAAAGTTTTGTTGTAATTTTTATAAGTATTTTTTATCTAATTTTCTACTAAAGTATGAACTTTATTCATTTAAAATTAATTAATTAGGTATTTTAATAAAAGTTGTGTATTGACGTTAATTAAATCGAAAAGTTTAAAATTTAGAATAAAAAATGTTTCAGAAAAAGTTAAAATTAAAATAATTTTCTACTAGATTAATCCGTCATCATTTTCTGCGATTAAATAGGATCAAATTAAATTAAATTAATGCCAAAAATTAAATTGCAGATGACACCGGCGGGACTGTGGCTTGTGGCCGTTGTGGCCGTACTCTGGGTCATTGTGGAGCCCAGATATTTGAGGCAACCAGCGGAGGTAATTTGTGGAAAATTTAACCATTTATTCAGTGTTTTAATTATTTTATGGAATTAGAAAGCTTACTGTTCACTTTACTTACTACCAAACTGCAAAATTCATACTTTTTATAAATTTTTGAAACATGGAAAGTTTTTAAAAAATTACAAGAATTAAATTTTTTACAGAGTTCGTTAAATTGGAGCAACCGGCAGAGGTGCTTTGTGGAATTGATTTTATCGAATTTAATCCGTGATCCGCTTTTATCCATTTAGTTTATCGTCGATTATCATGAATGACAAATCCTGCGTACTATCAAATTTCCAAAACTCTCGTTTTTTAATAATTTTTGAAACATGCAAATTGTAATCAGCATCAAAATTCAAGCGAACATCTTGCATCAATTAATGGTAAAGGCAAACAGCCTTTTATTGGAAAATTAGGTGGTTTGATTTCAGGCCGACGATTCCGAGGCAGCCGATCAACCCTCGCGCCAAAAACGCTACTATGGAGGTGGGTGAAACTTGTCGCTTTTCGGTTTTCCGACCCGTTTTTTTTTGATGTTATGGCCGTTAGCATCAGGATCTCGATTGTAGTCTGTAGTCTGGCGACCAGTTCAGGGATTCCAATAGCGAAATACACAAATAAGGCAAAAAGCAAAAAGTTAGCCTCGGCAGGGATTCGAACCCGGGTAGCTCGCCTGGTAGCTGTTCTGTAGTTTGTAGCCCGAAATAAAAGTTGTAGTCTGTCGTCTGGCTGCCAGTTTAGGAATTCCCGTAAAAAACGCTGCCAAGTTTTCAAAAAGCAACAAGTTCGCCGCGGTCGGGGTTCGAACCCGGGTCGTTCAGCTGGCAGTTTTTTGTAGTCTGTAGCTCCAAACTAAAAGTTGTAGTTTGTAGCCTGCCTGCCATTTTAGAAATATCGCCAGCAAAATCCAAAAACTCCCCTTAATTTTCAGGTTACGGTGGATATGGTGGTTGTGGGTGTGGGACATGTGCTCCCTGCAATCATTCCTGCGGCTATTATTACGGTAGGTTAATTTGTAAAATCTAACTTTTAATTTTGTATTTTCTAGGCTACGACTGCAATGGAGGCTGCGGAAGTTGTAATGGTAATTTTATAATTTTAAGCAACTTTCAATTTATAGATGTTCAAAATTTTATGATTTTTAGAAAATTTAAATGAAAGTTATTGTTTTGATAAATTTAAGATTTTTATTTTTAAGCTTTGTTAAATTATATTTATTTGATATTTGATATGTAAGCTAAAAAGCAAGCATTGACATAAACAAAAGCCATCGATTTTTAATTCATTTCAAAACACGTTTTTTAAAAACGCCCTTTTGGTTTGAGATACCCCCCATACGACTCTTTTGGGGTCCTTTTCCGGATTTAAAAAAGAACCAAGCATCGGATCGCAAAACTGAATACACCATCGGAACCGGCGACACTTTTTGCATACTATAAGCTTTTAAAATTTCAAAAAAAGCAAAATTTCGAATTTTAACAGCCGATTTAAATTGCGTTTCGAGGGGGGGGTCTGCGTTTGTATGTCTGTATGTTTGTCCGCAAAACCTTTGTAGTCGTCAAAAAGTGCCTTCCCATGGTCCGTTTGGGCTGAAATTTGCCACATATATCGACTTGATGTAAATGAAGGTGAGGAAGAAGCGTTTTTTTCAAAATAGCTTTTTAAAAAATTTATATTTAATTTTTAAGTTTAAAAGTTAAATTGCGGCCAAAACAAGGGTTAATGATGTCCGTTTGGGCTGAAATTTTGCTCAAACATGCATTAGACCTTGCCGGAAAAAGGAAAGAAGAAATTGCATCGAAAGAATGCTTCTTCTCTGAGATATTATAACTTTAAACCTTCGCCATACGGGGCGCCACCCTCCCCTTTGGCGGCCCCAGTCCCCGATGGGCGGGCGGGTCTAGCTCCGAGACAGCCCCAGCCCCCGTTGGCCTAGTGGTTAGCACGCTGTACTGGGAAGTCTTGCCACACGGGTTCGAATCCCACCCGTAACATCCGTTTTTGCCGATTGGCCCCCGTGCATCCTTATGGTTTCTAGTACCGTTGCAAAGCGCCGCAGGCAGTGTGAAGTTTTGCGTACAAGAGTTCATCTGAATAAATATCCCATGACTTATTCTATGATCTTAACAACAAAATTGAGGCAAAAAGGGCTAAATTCTCTCTTTTCAAGAGTTTTTCAAGAGTCAAGAAAGAGTCTTTTCAAAAAAGGGCTTTTGGTTCTCGCAAAAAAAGAGGAATTCTCGTGGCAACAAAAAGAGCTAAATTCCTTTCAAACTCTTAAAAATGCTACAGAATGTGGGATCAACCAAAAGTTGCTGGCACCTTATTAAAACGGACAGATCTAGTTTCTAGCGGTTTCGGCTTGCAAATAATTTCTGTATTACCAGATGGTTACAGTCGCTTCGCGACTGCAACCATCTGGCCTTCGGGCTACCCCACATGTCCCACTCCACCACATCCTTTCCTACCTCCATCAATACCCCCATGGCTGAAATCCCCTTCAAAAACTACCTAAATACCTTCCTGATGGCTTCAGATACCCCCCATGGCTGAAATCCCCTTCAAAAACTACTTAGATACTTTAAATGATTTAAATAATAAATTAACATAATTAAAAAGTATTAAAAGTATTAAAGTAACTCAAGAAAGCCCCTGGGCGCGCGAAGGGGCCTGGGGAAGAGGGGCGAAAGGAAAAGGGGGCGTGGCCTCCCGACAGAGGGGCCCCCACTCGTTTTATTAAGGCGCCACTTTCAAAGTTAATTTTAATAATTTAAATTAAAACTTTTTCATAATTTTTTCATCAGTTTGGGGGTTTCTGACCATGCTCTATCCGAATCCGAAGAGAGCTAAGCTCTAGCTCCTTTCCCCTTCGAGTTGAATCCGGGACATGACGGACGGACGGACGGACAGACACCACTACTTTTTTATTATAGTTGATGATCGATTTGCACTTCCTTGAAATTAATCTGTGGACCTGACCTGTGATCTGGGATGGTACCGAGTTTATTAAGGTTTTAAATAGCCAGCAACTTTTTGTTGTTCCCGCATTCTGTAGCAGTTTTAAGAGTTTGAAAGGAATTTAGCTCTTTTTGTTGCCACGAGAATTCCTCTTTTTTTGCGAGAACCAAAAGTTGAAACTTGATTCTGGGTCCACCTATCGCGAAATTAACAAAAATCAAAACTCTTGAGTTTTGAAATTGTTCAAATCATATTTTTTTAAGTAGCAGGTTCATAATAATAATAATAAAACCTTGTTAACGTTTTGGGCTTGCGTTTAATTTTCGCTTCATCGATGGAGTAGTGACAAGGAATTCCTCAAATTAAAAATTGTTGGTTGCTAGCATTTTTCGAAACATGTCTTTCCAAAAACGTGGAATCATATTTTCTCAATTATCAGGTTTACACTAATAAAAAAAAAAAAAAAAAAAAAAAAAAAAAAAAAAAAAAAAAATAATAATAATAAAATAATAATAATAATAATAATAATAATAAAATAATAATAAAAAATAATAATAATAATAATAATAATAATAATAATAATAATAATAATAATAATAATAATAATAATAATAATAATAATAATAATAATAATAATAATAATATTAATAATAATATTAATAATAATAATATTAATAATAATAATAATAATAATAATAATAATAATAATAATATAATAATAATAATAATAATAATAATAATAATAATAATAATAATAATAATAATAATAATAATAATAATAATAATAATAATAATAATAATAATAATAATAATAATAATAATAATAATAATAATAATAATAATAATAATAATAATAATAATAATAATAATAATATAATAATAATAATAATAATAATAATAATAATAATAATAATAATAATAATAATAATAATAATAATAATAATAATAATAATAATAATAATAATAATAATAATAATAATAATAATAATAATAATAATAATAATAATAATAATAATAATAATAATAATAATAATAATAATAATAATAATAATAATAATAATAATAATAATATAATAATAATAATAATAATAATAATAATAATAATAATAATAATAATAATATTAATAATAATAATAATAATAATAATAATAATAATAATAATAATAATAATAATAATAATAATAATAATAATAATAATAATAATAATAATAATAATAATAATAATAATAATAATAATAATAATAATAATAATAATAATAATAATAATAATAATTAATAATAATAATAATAATAATAATAATAATAATAATAATAATAATAATAGTATAATAATATTAATAATAATAATAATAATAATAATAATAATAATAATAATAATAATAATATTAATAATAATAATAATAATAATAATAATAATAATAATAATAATAATAATAATAATAATAATATTAATAATAATAATAATAATAATAATATTAATAATAATAATAATAATAATAATAATAATAATAATAATAATAATAATAATAATAATAATAATAATAATAATAATAATAATAATAATAATAATAATAATAATAATAATAATAATAATAATATAATAATAATAATAATAATAATAATAATAATAATAATAATAATAATAATAATAATAATAATAATATTAATAATAATAATAATAATAATAATAATAATATTAATAATAATAATAATAATAATAATAATAATATTAATAATATTAATAATAATAATAATATTAATAATAATAATAATAATAATAATAATAATATTAATAATATTATTAATATTAATAATAATAATATAATAATAATAATATTAATAATAATAATAATAATAATAATAATAATAATAATAATAATAATAATAATCTTTTTAACGTTTCGGGCTTTGCATTTAATTTTCGGCTTTAATCTGAAATCGAAAAGGATGAGTACAAGAGACAAGGACACGACAGACAAGGCCAATTAGTAAAAAACGTGGATTTCTGATTTCTAAAATTTTTCGAAACACTTTTTGAAAATCTTGGGTTTCTTGTTTTTGACGTTTTTAGGCTTCTGAGGTTTGACCTCTACGATTAATTCTTTAAAAAGTGCTAAAAGCCCTAATCGTTTACTTCCGTTTTAATATCGACCGTTTTAATATTTATTTATATCGTTTAACAGGCTAGATTAGAGAACCAAACATTTTTTTTTTATGGTGATTCAAAACACATTTTTTCGGAACTTTCTTTTTATAGCGTTGGCTACTAAAAGTTATTAAGATTCCAACTTCAGTTTTCAATTTTAATATAAATTCGTGTGGGATTCAAAAAAAAGTAAAAATGTTGGTTTTTGAGATTTGAAAAACTTATCATTTCACTAATTTTTCTACTGTTTCTACGGTTAGTTCTTACGGAGGTTTTACAAGCACCAAAGTTTATTTCTCTGTAATTTTTGATTTTTAATAGTGAAATCCGGACGACGTGAAATTGATTAAAAAAAAATTTTTGATTTGTGGCATTTTGGCAAATTCTTATTTTGCGTTTTTTATATCAAGTGGTCCAGATAAGTGGAGCAGATATTGACAAAATAAAGAAACGTTGTTCTATAGCATTTTTCGAAATATTTTTTTTCAAAAAAATTTGTATTGATGAGACAGTTTTTATTTTTTTCAGGCTCTTGCGGCTCGTACGGCTACGGTGGCTACGGGGGATACGGTGGATACAGTGGAGGATATTATCATCATGGCAAAAATAATAATAACAATAACAATAATAATAACAATAATGGAAACGGCAAAAACAACAACAACAATAATGGCAAAAATAATGGAAATGGGGTGAGTTTAAATCTGATTTACACGAATACATTTTAATAGAGATTCATTAAAAATATACGTTTTAATAGAAATTTATTTAAAATATGCATTTTAATCGATTAAAATGAGTCGTAAAAGCGTTTTATTACAGCGATATAAATTTAATCGTAATGGAAATTACGTGAAACATTTTTGATTTAAAAACGATAAAATAAGTTTTTTTTTACAGAATAATAATCGCTACCGGTACAACTACGGTGGATACGGTCGAAGAGGAGGATATGGATACTGATTTTTTACAAGAAAATCGAATTTAACTTAATTGGATTTGATGTATTTTTGTGATTCCCCCAATTCACGCGGCATCCAGGTTGGCTCGAGGAATAAATGGGTTTGGCTAGAAAAAATTAAAATTCATTACATTAATTAATTAAAAAACAAAAAAATTAAAAATTACAATTCAAAAAGCAATGAATTGGGTCGCAATGAGTGAAATTAGAGCAACCAAATTGCGATCGAGTCGAACAGCGAAATTTAATACTTTAAAAAGAGCTAAAATATTTAATGGTATGGCCTCGAGGCTGATTACGGAAATCCAAAAACGAAAATATTGGGAAGACGATGAAACATTTTTTTTGGTTACCGGTTGAATTTTCCTTATTCTAGAAAAAGTTTGTATCCATCATAATTAAATTAGAATAATTATAAATACCGATAATTGGAAAACATGTCGACACTAACCATGAATTGAAGTGGTCAAAATTCCAGCTTCTTTGAAAAAATGTGAAACATCAAAAATTTTTGCTGGTTAAAAAGGGAGTTTCACAAAAAATGCCTATTTTCCCGTCCTGAAGAATTTTATTATTATCTTTCGGAAATGAGGTCATTCCACTAAATTCGATTAGGTCATTAAATAATACGTGCTTTTTTGATTCCGATGGATTCCTATTGACACCAAGGGGTACTGTAGCAACCAGAGCTGCTAGTCTTGTAAACTGACAGCCAGTTAAGATATTCCCGCCAAAATTAGAACTATGCCTCCAAACTACAAAAAGTTACGTTAAATCCACAAAGCTGTCTATTTTCCGTTGGATTTTTATTGACACCCAGTATACTGTAGCGACTATAATCTGTAGTCCTTGGAAACTGACAGCCAGTTTAGCCATCCCAATCGAAGAATCCCTTAAAATCGCAAAAAGCAAAAAGTTAGACTCCGCCGGAATCGAATCCGGGTCGTTTGCTTGGAGGATTTTCTGTAGTCTGTATCCTAAGCAAATGATTGTATTCTGTAGCCTGCCAACCAGTTAAGCTACTCCCAAAAGAATTGAAGTTCAAGCTACAGAGTAAAAACAATTAACGCCATCCAAAAATTCGCGAAATTTAATTCCTAAATCCTGACGATACAATTATTATAAAACAGTTTTTCAAGACCTAAAAAATTTACGAAACATGTTATTTATCGGCATTTATTGAAAGTTCTTGGATCAATTTTTAAGGTTCTTGCCTCAAATGGTCTCTGCTAGCTCTGGCTTTAGTCTAGGATAATTCATGCTAACAAATTCGGTGATTCTTTGAAAAATGTTGAAGCATTCATTTTCCCCAAACTGTTCGATTTTTTTTCTTGGGCTCTGCTAGCAGCCTGCTCTCCTCGGGAAAATGCTTCCTAAGGAATATCTGCTGGCTTGCCTAGCATTTTTGAGTGAATTATTATAGAAACCAGCGCCCAAAACCCGCTTCGCGGGCCTTGGGGCGATGGAATGCGGCTTTGCACGAAAAAGTTGAACTTCCGATAGCTCGGGTCCTGCGGACCCCCCCTCCCCGACTAAACTCGCGAGCGCAACTGGCAAGAATGAGGAAATTTCTATTTTTTCACATTATGAATCTAATTAAATATATATACTAAATTTCTATTTATATGCGAATTAGCCCTCCCGGACCCCCAAAAATGAATAAAACCGGCTCTAACTTTGCAAACTTGTATTTTATCGAAATTCGGAAAACGTCATCGGAAACAGAAGGGTCGATTCCCCCGGGTGACGGAGAATTAGGGCATTTTGGACACGGGAAGGCCCTCAAATTTGGCCTCGAAACTGACCTCCGCACACACACACACACAAAGATACGCCACCAATTTATATAAGGTAGGATGCTTCCTAAGGAATATCTGCTAGCTTGCCTAGCATTTTTGAGTGAATTCTCATAGAAAGACCCTGCATACATTACTACAAACCATCGTCAGCGCTCCCTTAAAATTCGTGAAACGTGTGTATTTTCCAGAAAATCTTCGCTTTGACAAATTTAAGCCCATTCCCAAATGGTCTCTGCTAGCGTGCCCGGGCCTAGTAATTACTTACTCCTGATTTTCCCAAGCAATCCCTGCCATCCTGCGCCAATTCCGAATGAAATATTAGTGATGTGCCCCACAACATCGCATTAATGCCAGCAAATTCAGCAGCTTTTTAAAAAATGGTGAAACATCCTCGTTTTATCAAATTTATTTTTTTTTCTTAAATGGTCTCTGCTAGCTTGCCGGCCTCCAATCCGGAAATTCCCAAAGAAACGCTGCTAGCTACCCCGGTGGCTAGAAGATTTGAGAAATTCGGAAGAGAAACGTATAGCAGGTGGATTATCGAAACACGACCAATTCGTACCCCTAGAAATTCCGAAACATCTGCTTTTTGCCATGGGCTTCATTTTCTCCATCTGAAACTACAATTCCGCACAGAATCACTGCTGGCTTGCCCGAGAGAAATATTAATCTGGGAAAAAAGCTGAAAATTAGCTAGTAAAATACCCCAAATTTCGCAGAATCAGCGAAACATCAAAATTCATCAGATAATTGTTTTGGGATAATGCGATGAAAGTTTTATATCATGCTCAAATGGCCTTCGCTAGCTTGCCCGGGTCTAATTACTCTAAATCCTCCCAAATAATCGCGGCTAGCCTGCCCCAGTTCCTGATCAAATAACAAAACCAAAAAAAGCGACAAATATTAATGCCGGCAAATTTTTCTACGCTTTGAAACAAGTTGAATCATGCGATTTTAAGAAGAAAATTTTTTTATTTCGGAAAGAATCCCTGCTAGCGAATTGGTATTATAATGTCGAAAATCATAATGTTGAAATTTCATAATGTCGAAAATTCATAATGTCGAAATTTACATAGGCTAATATTACCGGTGAAACCGCAAAAGCCTAGCCAAAAAAAATTTTCCACATCGTATTTTTTTATCTTATTTCACGACAACATTTTTTTGCCTAGAATTCGGGGACTTTACCGGGAATTTTAGCTTAGGTAAATTTCGACATTCAGACATTTCGACATTTTGAGTTTCGACATTTTGAAAATAAGCCCCTGCTAGCTACCTGGTCGTTAGAGGAATTTGTACATTAAAGGAAGTCAAGGCGACAGAACCCTTGTAGCCTTGTTAAATTCCGCCCAATCGGTTCCCATAAAATTTCTAAAACACTCATTTTTCCTATCTTTTGGTATGTCGATTCGCAGAAGCAAATGGTCTCTGCTAGCCTGCCCAGCCCTTAAAGATCAATTCCAAGGTTTCCTAAAGAATCTCTGCTGGTTTGCCTAGCTTTTTGGCTGAACTATTCAATACCCTTTCCGTCCGTAAATTAGCACAAGTCATCGCCGTTACCAACTTAAAATTCGTGAAACATCCATATTTTTCGTAAAATTGTTCCCTGCCAGCCTACCCTTGTAGAAAGCTCTCAAATTGACTTTCTTTAGAACCCCTACATTTTCAAAAAAATCATTTTTTTTAATGAAAAGCATTCAGTGTTTAGGAATTTCGAGGTTTTTCGCAAACTTTTCCGCCTCAATACTTATTGTTTTTATTTTATTTCTTTTGTGTCGTTTTACTGTCTGCCACTTCGCTGACTCAGCAAAACAACTGCGAGAAACAGTCGAAAAACAAAAGGCCGACTCGAAAAATACAAAACCCCGCTTTTCCACCCCTCCCCAAAATCGTCAATTTCCCCTCAAAAATGACAATTACCGCCCGGCCAATATTTTCCATTTTCTTCGTCTTTCTACTCGGTTTTTCGGCCGCCCAAACGACCGAATCGACGCCCAGGACCACCACTGTGGACGAGGAGGTAGAGGGTGGGTAGGCAATTGGTTGTTGTTGGCCTGCCCAAGATTTAAAATTACAAAATAATTGCTGTGGTTTGTTGGCTGGCTGCCAGTTTAGCGATCCCTACAAAAATTAGGGTCCTAGCTACAAGCTACAAGAAATTAGACGCACTCGAAAATTTGGGAAAATCCGATTTTTCCGTTTTTCCGGTAGATTCCTGTTGACATTTGGGGGTACTGTAGATGATTGTTATGATCTATTCTGTAGAGGAGAATGAGTTCTATCACATCCCAACACTATCATCTACCGTATCCCTATATCTAGCCATTTAAAGGGGGCAAGAACACACGGAAAATCGCGATCTTGGAACTTTTCCGTTCAGTTCTTATGACGTTTGGGGTAGTGTAACTCTTGTAGATGTCATTTTTCGTTAGTCTGGTTGCCAGTTTAGCAATTACTATAAAAAATTGGTTAAATTTTGCGAAAAGCAAAAGTTTGCGCCGCGGACGGGGTTTGAACCCGGGTTGCGAGTCTAATAGGTTTTCTGTAGTCTGTAGCCTGGATTTACATTTTGTACTACGTAGTTTGCATGTCAGTTTAGTGATTGCCGCTAAGAAATTCCGATTCCTAAAAGATCTCTGCTCGTTACCCTCTAAATTTCAGTGAGCCACCACGTGTTCTGCCCCCAGAGCTACGGTCTTCTCGATCCACTCGACGCCCTGCGCTACGCCTCGACGCGCAATTGCAGCATCGGGCTGCCCAAATGGCCTTGTAAACTAACTAATTAATTACGAAACTATCGTTTAAAAAAATAAGAAACGCTGAAAATCTGAAGTTTTAGATTTTTTTATGAAAATTTTTTTTTTGTTTTTTTAGTGCCACAAAATTGCTTTTTTTTGTTGTCGACTACGGTCAAAAACTTACGCACTCGATCGATTTCAAACTTTTTTAGTGAATTAATTTTCAGCCTATATTCCGGTCGAAAATCAACGGCGCCAGGTGCTTGAAGCGCTCGTCGGCGAAGAGAAGATCCATTACTGTAGGGAAATAATTTCTTGTTTGTATTTTGTAGTCGGCATGTCAGTTTAGCCATTCCCGAAAGAATTAGGTTTCTAGCACAAACTACAAAAAGTTCGCCCATTCGGACATTTGGGAAAAACGATTTTCCGAAAGCTTCCAAATCACGCCTAGGGTACTGTAGAAAGGTGTGCACTTTTGTATTTTGTAGTTTAGCTGTCAGTTTAGCATTTTCCATCTAGAAATCCACCAAATTTTCAAAAAGCAAAAAGTTAGCCGGGGGCGGGAGTCGAACCCGGGTCGTTGGCCTGGTAGCTTTTTGCAGTTTGTAGCTCAAAAACAAAAGTTGTAGTCTGTAGTCTGGCGTCCATTTGATAGATTCCAATAAAGAAATTCACAAAATTTTCAAAAGGAAAAAGTTTGCCGCGGCCGGGAGTCGAACCCGGGTCGCTGGCCTAGTAGATTTGCTGTAGTCTGTAGCCTTGCCCTAACGGGTGTAGTTTGTAGCCTGCCTGCCAGTTTAGTCATTCCCGTCAAGAAATCCATTCCAGACTGCCCGTTTCGCACCTTCTTCTGCGACGGCGTCTGGGTGAACGGCTCCAAGATGGCGAACGCGACGGCGATGGGCTGCTACAATTTCAAGACGGTCGGCATGGTCACCAATCGGACACTGAGCACCTGTCATTGTGGTTTGTCGTCTGTATCTGTTGTCACTGTCCCTTTAGAGCCGCAGGAGGGAAAGGAGCCGTTGCTTGTCGAACCCGTTCATCCTAGCCTCTCCGGCGCTGCCCTCGTTTATAAAAAGGTGTTGAAAGGATAAACTGGCTGCCAGGCCAGAGACCACAACTCGCAAAAATAGGCTACAGACTACAAAAAACGCTACTTGGTGTCGGATTCGGGTTCGATTCCCGTCCGGGGCGTTGCTTTTTGCTTTTTGAAAATCTAACTTATTTATCGATCGTAATATCTTAACTGACACCTAAGCCATCCAAAAAGCACCGTAAATTCTTTACAGTACCTCTAGACGTCAATTGGGTCGATTCGGAAAGGCGTCAGAATCGCGATTTTTACCATGTTCCTTCCCCTTTAAATGGCTAGATCTAGGGATAGGGTAGCTGATAGTGTTGGGATGTGATAGAACTCATTCTCCTCTTTCGAATAGATCATAACAATCATCTACAGTACCCCCAAATGTCCACAGGAATTTAACGGAAAATCGGGAAAAATTGGATTCTGGCCAAATTTTCGAAGGGGTCTAACTTTTGGTAGATAGTAGCTAGAACACTAATTTTTTTGACAATAGCTAATCTGGGATCCAAATAACAGATTACAACAGTTTTCATAACCTTGAAAAGATATTCTAATCTAATCGATCACGCCAGCTTTTCGTTGCAGGACTTCGCGACGTGCGGGTGGAAGATCCAGCTGCGCCAAGAAGATCTACTGGTAAATTGCTCTGACAATTATAGATTAGGAATTATCTATTTCCATCGATCGATAGAAATCGTAATTTTTCTAGTCGGCAACCGAAGCCGAAGCGGCCCGCCACGGCACCATGAAGTAATCATTCTGCAATTTTGCCGTCATCATTCGATTCGGAAAAATTTGTATTTTGTAGTCTGTCTGTCAGTTTAGTCATTCCTACAAAAAAATTAGAACTCTAGCCACAAACTACAAAAAAATAGACTAATTCGAAAATTTACCAAAAATTCGACTTTCTGTAGTCTGTAGCCTAGTTATCCAGAAGTATAACCTTTATCTAATTGTTGTAATTTTTAGCCTTACAACCAGTTTAGCAATTTCTCAAAGAATTAGATACAAACTACAAAAAGCTAGACCCATTCGAACATTTAGCGAAAATCCAATTTTTCCCATTTTCCGTTAGATTCCTGTTGACATTTGGGGGTCCTGTAGATGATTGTTATGATCTATTCGAAAGAGGAGAATGAGTTCTATCACATCCCAACACTATCATCTACCGTATCCCTCTATCTAGCCACTTAAAGGGGGCAGAACACCCCGAAAATCGCCATTTTGGTAGATTTCCGAATTGGTCCTATTGACATCTAGGGGGTAGTGTAGTAGCATTTTGGCATTGTAGTTGGTAGTCTGGATGTCAGTTTAGCAATTGCCATAAGTAATTGGAAAAATTTTCAAAAAGCAAAAAGTTAGCTCGAGCCGGGATTCGAACCCGGGTCGTTCGCCTAGTGCATGTTTTGTAGTTTGTAGCCTGCAAGTAAAAGTTGTAGTCTGTAGTCTGGATGCCAGGTTAACCAATTTCGACGAGACATCAGCATTTTCAGCTTTCAAATGGTAGGAAAGGTGACGTTCTGGTGATCCACGGAACCGGAAGCTACTCTCGACGACCCGATGCCCCTCGAATTCCACAAGAATCTCTGCAACATCGCCTCTTAAGCCCCGCCCGCTTTTTTTCTGGCAACGCCTCCTTTTGTCGTTAAAATGGAGAAATGTTCTATACTCGCAATAAATACGTTGCTCGACTCGCAGAATTGATGACACTATAATCGAAAAAGAATTTTTTAAATTGTAGTTTCTATGAAAGATTTTTGTTTTTCTTGTCGACTATGAATTTTGGAAAATATGGCCATTTTGGAATTTTCTATTTTGAAACACCCATATACCGAATTGCCACTTTGCCAACTGACCGAACGTGAAACCGTGGTAAAACATGTTTTTGGAAATGAAATTTATTCGCAAAATTTGACTTTTTGCAACTCTCTGGGATCTCCTGTTCAGATCCAGGAAAAAGAAATGTTTCGGGGAAAATATTGTTTAGTGCGATTTTTGAGGAAGCAATGCACAATCCAATCCAATGCCTTTGTGTTTATCTCCTAAAAAAACCTCTCCTGGCCTTTCCAATAAAAAAAGCAAAAATACAGGGTGTCCCAAAAAAAGTACCCCCCTCTAGCAGCGCGCAGTCGTGTCCGATTTTCAGCGTTTAGATATCTATCGAAAGCTCTCGAAAAGGCGAGAAAACAAGAACGGTTCATTTTCTTTATTATGTATTTTTATTAGCAAATTTTACGTCCAAAAACCCTGAAAACCGATGATTTATGCAAGATTTGCATGCTAATTGCGAAATTCCTGTCGAAAAATTACCTGCTGTTTTAGAAAAACGTTAAATCCCGATGGAATGAGCTTAAATTTTAAGAAACGAAACCCGCTTGTTTTCTCGCCTTTTCGAGAGCTTTCGTATGGTGTAAAAATCAGCCCGATCCGAGCTTCCTCTGCGCCGCTAGAGGGGGGTACTTCTTTTTGGGACACCCTGTAGATGGAAGAAATAAGCTGCCAGAGCGTAGTTTTATTGTCAATACTTCCGGTTCGGAGACGGGTCCCAGAAAAATAAATGTTTCGCAAAAAATACTGGAACCAGTCGATTTTTGGCACGGCAATACGCAGGTGCTGGAATGATTAGTATTCACAAATGATCTCTGCTAGCCTGCCCATCATCTAATCTGGCAGCCAGTCAATCCATTTTCATTTCCGGAAAAAATCCTATCCTATAAGCGAGAAAAGTATGTTTGTTTTCTGTAATGACGATTTCTCGGCCGTCAGGCCGAATTTCGCGCTGATTTTTGGCATGGAGGCGGAGAAATGCATTTGCCAAACACGCATTTTTTTGTTTTCCGAAATTCTTTGATTTAACAATTTTACAAGCAAAATAGTAAAAATCCTTAACAAAATTACGATGCCGTGGTGTTCGGGGCATAACTCGATTCGCATTTGGAATTTCGGGCTGAAATTTGGACCAGTTATGTATTCGATCGTGGGGATCACGCGCATCTTATTATCTTTGCAAATTTTCTGCAGATTCAGACTCAAAAACTTAATTTTGTAAAGTGACCCAGAAGGCTTCCTCCCGGGGCATTGGGTCGCCTTTCTGTGCCTCCCGGCCCCTATTTCCCCGGAACAGAAGAGAGCTTTCCCGCCGCCTGTTCCCATCTACCCCGTGGTGTAGTGGATTTACGGCCGGCCTACCACGCCTTAGTCGTGGGTTCGGATCCTGAGCAAGTCCAACTTTTGCTTTTTGGTAGTTAGCAACTAACCATATTTCTAGGCTCTCGGTGTGCGAGGTTTAGGCCTGGCCCTCGCTCTAGCACCGCAGGCCTAAGAAAAGGCCCTTGACCCAGGCCTCGCGCCGCAGACAAATCCCGGAGAAAAACCAGTAACTAGCGCCGCGAGGCTCAAAGGTTACGGAACGCTGGCTCTAGCGCCGCAGGCCAAAGAATGGCGCCATTACTCAGGTTCTTGCGCCGCAGGCTAAAAGAAGAAGGTATTCAAATTCATGATTCCTGGACGGGGTCCAGTGGAAAATGGCCGCGAAGCGGTCTTTTTCCACTGGTAATTAAAATGTTTCAAAAATTTTAAGCATAATTTGCCGATACGGATAGATATAGTTTCAATCACGATAATTGGTTATATCATTTTTTCGGCTTGTTGTTTTATTCATTTTCCCCAATAAACGCTGCTAGCTGGCTTTATATGCCTTTCTGTAATGATCTCGGCTAGCCAGCCCTCTCCTCGAAGATCCCGAAATTCCATAGGAACCTCTGCTAGCCTGCCATAGGCCTGAAAAAAGCAAAAATAACTCGAAGAAATAAGCTGCAGCGCAGAGTTTTGTTGATCCGGCGGACTTCCGGTTCGGGCCAACAGCCAGGAACAATAAAAGTTTTGGGAAAATCTAGTAAACGCTCGATTTTTGGGACAGCAATGCGTCCCCCACTTGCTGTAAATTAATGTATGGGTAATCTCAAATGATCCCTGCTAGACTGTCCACCATCTAAACTGACAGCCAGTCAATCCATTTTCACATTCGAAAGAAATAATGCGTGTTTCAAAAAAAGCTAGGGCTGCTGTCAATGCACAACAATAGAAATATAATGTTTCGTTTTGAATAAACCAAAATATTTTCTCTGGTCGTTTAATTGGCAGTAATAGCAGATTTCCTACCGATTTATTCACCCCCGGTTTGGCGTTTCTCTAATGATCTCTGCCAGCCTGCCCTCATAGAGGGGCCCCGGAAATTCCCTAAGAATCTCTGCTACGGATGCAAAAATAAAAATAAATGTTCCTAAAAAATAAATTATTCGAGCGATTCCTAAAATTGCAATAGTTTCATATTTTGGTGGAGATTTCCTAAAAAATCTCTGCTGGGCGGCTAGGCGTCTCAAGAAAGCAGGGAAACACGTAGCAAAATCAATGTTTTGAAAAACGGCATAATTCGCGCCATTTCGAAAACTGCAATGATGTCGGGGGTTTTATGTGAATCGCTAGAGATCTCTGCTAGCCTGCCCCAGTCTGAAAAATTAGGATTCCGTCGACAATCTCTGCTCGCCGGCCGTGCGCTTCCCAAGAAAAACCCGCTTCAAACCAATGTTGTAAAAAATGCCATGATTTGGCGTGACTCTAAGGCCTGAATCGCAATTCTGCTCTTGCTTCTTCTGTCAAAATGTTAATAAACTAAAATGAAGCTTTAATCAGCTTTTAATGCAAAGTCGGCTGTAAAAAATGATGTTAAAAAAATTTTAAAAACGAGAGTAAAATATTGTGTTTCAAAAAATCAAAGCTCTCAGTTGGAAATGGCGGAAATTAATTGCCATAACGTGCTCGTTCTATCCATGTTATTTTTCGTTGTCTTCTAACGGTATCTGCTAGCCTGCCCACATCCAGATGCATCAAATTTCCTCAAAAATCCCTGCCAGCCCGCCTCCGTTTAGAAAAACAAACAAAAAAAAGAATGTTTTTGAAAAACGCAATTTTCGACGGACCTGGAAAATTGCAATACTGCGATGCCCCGTATAAGATTTGTAGCTTTCAAAAATTTATTTGACGATTGTGACGTTTCTTCAATTTTCTGCTAAATCAACCAAGCCCAATAATTTAATTTAATTATTATTTTAATTATTACATTATATATGTTATTTAGATTAATTTAATCAATTTAATTAAAAAATCCAGGGCGGTAATAATGCTTCTAATCGACCAAAAGCCTCACAATATTATGTTTCAAAAAATCAAAGGTACCGCTTCGAAGTGGTGGAATTATTAACGACATCTTCATTCGTTTCAGGTTATTTTATTTGTTTTTTTATTAATCATTATTTTTAAGCTCCAAAAATGTAAATAAATCAAAATGAAGCTTTAATCATCTCTTAATGTGAAGCCGGCGGTAAAAACTGGTGTTGAATATTGTAAAAATGAGAATAAAAATATTGTGTTTCAAAAAATTAAGAATATCAGTTGGTGGTCGCGGCATTAATTATCATGTCGGCGCTGGCTTGTCTCTTCTAACGGTATCTGCTAGCCTGCCCACATCCAGATGTTTCAAATTTCCTGGAAAATCTCTGCCAGCCCGCGAATCCAAAAACTCACCAAAAAAAGAGTGTTGTGAAGGAAACTGCAATAACTTGATTTTCTCATTTTCCTAAAAAATCGCTGCTCGGCATTTCGTGAAGGATTTCTGTTAGCCTGCCCCAGGTTCCATAAAAAAAAACGTGGAAAGTTGAATGTTTTGAAAAAGTTTATGAGAAGTAGCTGGAAATCCGGCATAATTTGCCCCCTTTCCATGTCTTCCTCAATAATCTCTGCTAGCCTGCATTTATTTTTAAGCCGCAAAAATGTTAATAAATTAAACCCCGGTTTTAATCAAGTTTTTAATTTAGAGCCGGTGCGAAAAAATGATTTTCGATATTTTTAAAATGAGAAAAATATGATGTGTTTCACAAAATCGAAGATATCAGTTGGAGGCGGCGGAAATTAATAGGCATATGTTGTAGAAGAAATTTGGAATGACCTAAAGAATCTCTTCTAGCCTACCAATATTTTTTACTAAAATCCACCGCAAATCAATGTTTCTAAAAAGAAATGGTTTTCGGATGAAAAAGAAATTTTAATTTCATCACTTCAGCGTAACTCTCTTACTGCATTGCCGATTCTCAGCCAGTTTCAATAATGCAAATTTTGAAACAATTTTAAATTTAAACTCTTTAATTATTTTTAGCTCTTTAAACCGTTTCAAATTTTTAATTTCTAATTTATTTTCCGTATTATTTGATTTACTATTATTTATATCATAGTATTTTCTTATATTTTATGGCCTACTGCTACCGCTATTGTCGATCTTCCACCATTTTTTCAATAATATAAATCTTGAAACATTTTTTATCGACCATTGAGAAGGTTTGTGGCGAACTAGCAAAGACGATTTGCCAATTTTAAAGGACCATTGAAGCCGGAATTTCGTGGCGTAACTGATTGCGATGAGCGAGAGATTGAGATGCGGATGTCGTCTTTCCTTCCTAAATAATCTCTGCTATACTGCCCCATTTTGAAGCGCCAAAAATATCCATAAATTAAAATGAAGATCCGATGAAAATAACACTAAGAATTAATAAGATATTTTGAAAAAAAATAAAGATTGATTTTTGTGTTTCAAAAAAATTAAAGGCGTCAGCTGGAAACCGGAAATTTAATACACATTTGTAAGTCTCTTTCAGCTAGGCAATTTATATTTTTCCTCTAATGATCTCTGCTAGCCTGCCTTTATTCAGGAGTTTGGCATTCCACAAAGAATCCCTGCTTGCCTGCCCCGTTTTATAAGAAAAATCCACGAAAAAAAACGCACAAAAATACATGTTTTAAAAAAGTGCATTTTAGCCGGACCTCCAAAAGTACAATAAATGTAAGGAACAGCCAAGCTTTCCAAATTCCGCTGGTTTTCCCAAAGCCGCCAAAAATTACAAATTGTACTGAAAAATAAATGATTTTCTTTCAATTCAATTCTTTCAATTCAAGAATTTCAATACTTTCTTTCTTTTAGCCTGCGGCGCAAGAACCTGGGTCAAGGAGCCATTCTTTGGCCTGCGGCGACAGAGCCAGCGTTGCGCTAGAATCTTTGAGTCTGCGGCGCTAGCTACCGATTTTTCTATGGGGGCTTAGCCTGCGGCGCTAGAGCGCGAGTCAAGGAACTTGTCTTTGGCCTGCGGCGCGAGAGCCTGGAACAGTACCTTTTCTTTGGTCTGCGGCGCTAGAGCGAGCATCAGGCCTAAGCCTCGCATACCGAGAGCCTAGAAATATGTTTTGTTGCTGAACTACCAAAAAGCAAAAAGGTAAATTAGCCCAGGATCCGAACTCCCGACCCTTCGCTTGCCAGACCGAGCTCTAATCCGCTACACCATGGTGGAAGACGGGGGCAGGCGGCGGGAAAGGCCTCTTGTGTCCGGGGAGAGGCGAGGGGGGACTAAATGAAGAAACATCGAAGCTTTCCAAATTCCGCTGCTTTTCCCAAAGCCGCCAAAAATTAAAAATTGTACTGAAAAATAAATGATTTTATTGGTGTTTCAGCCTGTCCTAAAGGATCTCTGCTCGCTTGCTCTGATTTTAAGGCGGCAAGAATATTAACAAACTTAAATGAAGTTTCTTTATCCTTTTTAATTTACGGCGCTAAAACATCAATACCCTTTTTAATTCCTTTAATAATTCGGTTTAATGCTTTTAAATTGGGCTTAATCAATTTTAATTTTTAATCATAGCTTTCTTATTATTTAATTTACTATTATTTATACTATACTATTTTTTTGTTTTTTTTCTATGGTTCTTGATACTGAGATATTGATATTGTCGGGTTTCGACCTTTTTTTTATAATAAAAATTTTGAAACACTTTTTTGTTGACTAAAAACAAGAATTTTTGCAACGTTTGTGGCAAGGTAGCAGCGCGATTTGTGGATGTTAAAGGACCGCTGAAGCTTCATGTTCATAGCGTCAATGATTGGCATTTCACCCCAGTTTTACGCCAGATTTTTTTTACAAAATGCTCGAACTTTACAAATTAACCTTCAATTTTCTATTGTCGAGTTTCAACCATTTTTTTGTAATAAAAATTTTGAAGACTTGTTCGCCACAACCACAGTTTTTTTACAACGTTTGTGGCAGGCTAGCAGCGCGATTTGTGGATTTTAAAGGAACACTGAAGCCTCGCTCTGATAGCGTAACTGGTTGAACTTCCAACCCAGTTTTAACGCATATATTATTTTTTCATAATTTTTATTTCTATAGCATCTGAGTCGTTCACAGGGCGCGGGGATCATGATTGGTAAAAAATACAGTAGAAAAATACAAAAAAGACGAAACAAAAAAAAAATCGATATTCGCATCGTAAAGCCAAAAAAACGCAAAAAAATCGCAGTGACAATTTTGTTAGAAAACACTGGAAAAGACGGAAAGTAAGGCAGTTTAAATATAGAAAACAAAAAACTACAAGAATCGAAAAAAAACAAAAAAAGCAAAAAAAAATCGAAAATTTGGGGCGTAAAAAGTCGAACCCGGTGGTTTTGGTTTAGAATGGAGAGGGACGGGAGAAAAAAGAGACGCAGAGAAAAATAGAAAAACGCACATTCATGGCGTGGATACGGTAGTGGATTTTTGGGAATTAAAAAAATGTGAATTGCTTTTTACTATTGCTAACTATTGCTTGCTGAACCATTGCCAAAACTTAATTTTTCCTTTTTTTAAAAATTTCTGAAACATTTGATTTTTCAATCCCCAAAAATTTTGCGATAATCTATACAGAAAAAACAAAACACAGATGATCGTTCGGAAAAACAAAAAAAAATGTTACAAAAACATGAAAAAACTGAGAAAATCGTCAGAATCACAAAATTCACAAAATTCGATCGATCGATAGGAAAATAACCGAGAAAAGTCGATTAAAAATCGGCAAAGAGTCGATTTTAAAGGGACACGCAAGGCAACTGGAGGCCAGTTAATGAATTACGCCATCTTACTCGCGAACCGGTTACGCGATTTTACGACACGAAATTCGCCAGTTTCGAAAATCGATTACGTCATAGATTCAGCAAAAACTTGCTTTTTTTTTCTAATCGATTACGCCGCCAAATTCAGCCTTGCGGGGACCTTTAACGGTTTTTAAAGGGACGGGCAACACTCGCTGAGATCACTCGTTTTGTGTGTGGAAGAGAGATGGGAGAAGAGAGAAGATAAAGTGGGCTTCACTGGGGGAAGAAACGCGGGTTCAACTTTTCGCCCTGAAAAAGGGGCGTGGCCTCCCCGGAAAAGGGGGCGTGGCTTCGGCAAAACGACTAGGCTATACGGCTAACACGGCACAAATTGTTGCAAAAATCCATTCAAAACCATTTTTAATGGATTTAAACGATTTAAATCGTTCAGAAATGAGCGTCGTAGTTTGTACGTTGCTCGGCGTTTGTTTGTCGATCGAATTTTTTTCGTAGTTCGTAGTTTTCCTCACACCAGAATCTTCACTGCCCGGCATTCGCACTTTTTCACCTGGAAATGGGTGTAGTTTGTGGCCTGAATGCCAGTTTAGCTAATCTAAGCAAAATCGGACTGAAGTGACTGTCCCCGCCAGGAATCGAACCCGGGTCCTCCGCCTGGTAACTTTTCTGTAGCCTTGCCTATTGCTTCTCGATTGTAGTCTGTAGTCTGGCTGGCAGTTTAGGAACTACTATCAAAAAATTAGTTGAACTTTCAAAAAGCAAAAAGTTAGCCCCCGCCGGGGGTCGAACCAGGGTCGCGCGCTTGGTGGTTTTTCTGTAGTCTCTAGCCTGGATTTCAAGGTTGTAGCCTGTAGTCTGTATGCCAGTTTAGCCCTTCCCGTAAAAATCCGGTTTAAAAAGTCAGATTGAACTTACCATAACAATATCCTGTGTCTGCTGCGGGGGGTTCATCAGTGGGCAGTCGAGGGTTACGGTAATCGTCTCCATATCTTTCGGCACACAGGCCGCACACGTTTGGAAGGAGGCCTAAAAAAATCGAGATAGTTTTTTATTAGTGCAGTTTCAGTTGTCACGCTCCCTTTAAAACGCAAAAAACATTCGATTACGCCATGAAATCGTCCAAATATAGAAATCTCGATTTTTTTTCGATTTCTTCAGGCTATCTGCCAGCCAGTAAGAGTATTCTGAGCATTTTACCACGAATTAGTGGAGGTTTAACCGATTACGACACGAAAATGCAGACCTTGAATCGGTGGGCCCGCAACCGAGGGATGTAGAAGGATGTACAGGTGCCGTGGCAGAATCTGAAACAGGTTTTTGTTAGGAATCGCTAAACTGGCAGACAGACTACAAAATACAATTTTATAGTCAGGCTACAGAGTACAAAAGCGCTTCAAATCCACCTCCCAACAACCACTTTCGGCAGACAGCCCTGCATTTTGACGCGTTGCTTGTACACTTGCGTGTGGCAGTTTGGCGTCTAAAATATTTAAATAATATATATAAATACAATTAAAAATTAATTAATATGGGTATTTAAAAGGGCGTTGTTCTACAAAATTAGATTTGCAAAACATTTGAGTTTTTTATAAATTTTTGTAACATCTTTTCAAAAAACCAAAATTGAGTTGTCCTTAAAGATCGTATAATAAAATTAAATAGAAAAACGCTAGACTAATCAGAAATGAAACGTTTTTACTGTCTAAAAAATCCATTTTGGAAAAATCGCACCTTTTAGCGCTTTTTAACATTTTTGGAAAAATATAGCTATTGATAGGTCGGCGTCAATGGCGGCGCAAAAAAGTCAGCACAAAAAAATAATAATAAAATATTAACCAAGCAAAAAAGAATCTGTCTCCAGCAAAATTACTGCTCGAAAAACTTTGCTTTTTTTAAAAAATTTTGCAACATTTTTTTCGCAAGAATTTCCATGAAGTGGAGAAATGCAAGACGAAACAAGGAAACAGACAAACTAAGTAAGAAGAAAAAGTACCATAAAAAGTATTATGGACAAATTACCACGTTACAAAATTTCGAGTTGTTTAGAAAATGATGCAACATTTTTTAACCAGTGGATAGAAATAAATCAGAATTAAAAAATAACTAGCGTTGACAAAATAAATTGGATTTTTAAGCCATTTTTGTGACATTCATTTGGCTAAAATTGCCATAAAAGTCTAGCAATATAAGAAGAGGGATTAATTCCCAGCCTAAAGTTCGGATTTTCAGAATTTTTTGAAACATTTGATTTTGAGAAAAATCGTACCCGATGGATGTCGGCACTCAGCGCTTCCATCAGCGCCTGGCTGCGGCCGTTCGGCTTGGTTGCTAAAATGGAAAATATTAAAATGAAGATTATAAAAAATCTTGAACCAATTACACGATATAATTCTGCCTTCATTGGCCCTTTAAAAACCGAAAAACGAATTTTGCGCCAATTTTGTAAAGCTGTGTTTCAAAAAATTTCCAGGATGACGCGGATTAAAATACAGCAATTCGTTTTCTCTAAGGGCACGTGGCCAAATAATCCCCGCTGGCCTGCCCTTTTTCCACTCAATTACGCCATATAATTTGCCCTTAGTGGCCCTTTAAAATGTCCAAAATAGTGTCGGCTAGCCTGCCGACGAGAAGTTTAAAAAATTGAAAAACCCGATTTTCTGTAAAAATTATGTTTCAAAGTTTGTCGTCGCAGACGTTAACTCGGATTGATGATTAAATGCAGTCTGAGGTTTTCCCAAATAATCTCTGCTAGCTCGCCCGAAATTTTTAATCAATCAAGTCATGTCATTTTGTCTGCACTAGCCCCTTAAGGGCTCCTCAATGATCTCTGCTAGCCTGCCTACTAAAATGTTCAAAAGTTTAGGAGATTAAAGGTCCCAGAAAAAAAAATGTTTCAAAAATGTCCTGGGTGGTGCCATTTTGGTTCTGGCAATCAGGTGTTGCCATCGGCCGAAGGATCTTGCCAAATAATCCCTGCCGCCCTGCCACTAGTTTATAAAGAATCAATTAGGCAATATAATTATGATTCCAGTGGCCCTTGCAAAAATTTCCCAAATGATCCTTGCTAGCTGCAGGACGTTTGAAAAATGGAGGAACTCATATTTTCTTCTGAGGAAAACAAGGTTTGAGAAATTTTTTGTGTTGCCAACCGGTTTAATTTGATAATTTCTTACAGTTTTCGCACATCCAACTCCTCTTCTAAAATCGTCACGATTTAACACTGCCTTCAGTGATCTTTAAAATTTTCCAAATGATCCCTGCTAGTTGCTGGGCGTTTGCAAAAACCAGAAACGTTCGCAGTTTTTCTCGCTAAAGCAATGTTTCAAGTTTGGTGTAGATGACGCTGACCCGGACTTATTTATTTCGATACTGTTTTTATTTCCCCAAATAATCGCTGCTAGCTTGGCCTACATTTTTAATTGATTACTCAATATAATTCTGCCTTCGGTGGCCCTTTAAAATGGCCTAAATGATCTCTGCTAGCCCGCCTCCACAATCCTAGAAATCTTAAAAAAATGTTTCAACGTGTGTTATAGATAGCATTCAATAGAGTAGCAATTCCCAAAGTTGGTCAAAATGTAAATTCCAAGTTCAGTGGTCCTTTAAAATAGCCTAAATAATCTCTACTAGCCTGCCCACTGAGATTGATAAAAAAACCAAGAATATTCTCGTTTCTAGAAAAGAATGTTCGAACAACTGAGCTAGGTGGCGCCGTTTTTGGTTCTGGCAATACCTCGTCGGCGACCGGCTGGAACATCTTCCCAAATAATCTCTCTTGCCGCTGTCGAATGAATTACGCGATGTTATTGTGCCTTAAACAGCCCTTTAAATTTCCTAAATGGCCTCGGCTAGTTACAGGACGTTTGAAAAACCCCTTTTTACTAAGGAAACCCATGTTTCATCGACCTGTGTGATCTCAACCGGCTTTAATTTGATAATTTCCTGCATTTTCCGAACTGTTAAAGCCGTGTCTAGAACCGACACGATTTAATTATGCCTTCAGTGGCCCTTTAAAATTTCCCAAATGTTCCCTGCTAGCCGGCCCTCTATAGTTCAAAAATCCGGAGCGCTTTTCGTGTAAAAAAATATGTTTCAAAACTTTGCCAACCTTTCGTCGTCTCGGATTTGACAATCGCATTGACATTGCAATCACATAACCCATTCCTTAATAATCTGTGATAGCCTGCCCCCCGTATTTTGAAAATCGGGCAAGGCGCTTTTATTGTAAAAAAATATGTTTCAAAACATAGCCAAACTTTCGTGGACTCGGGTTTGGCAATTTCAACTGCAAATCCCTATCCCTAATCAACACCGCTCGTTTGCCTGCCTTTTTTTAACCACTTACGCAATATAATTCTTTCATCATGGTGTTTTTAAATATTCTTAAATCATCGCCACTACCCAGTGTTTCCAAAAGCATCCAAAAAACGCTTTTGAGCAAAGAAATTATGTTTCAAAATTTGTTCTACCTGCCGCTTTCTTCATTTTACCAATAGACCATGGATAGGTCGCTCGACAATTGTTTTCTGTTTTTTTTTTCAATTAATTGACCTGTAATTCTGCGTTCACTAGTTCTTTAAAAAGTCCCAGAATTTAAAAGGGCATAAAACAGATTTTCTTTGAAAAAATAATTTTTCAACATTCTTCAACAACATTCAACAACATTCAACAACATTTTCTGTAAAAATGATGTTTCAAAGTTTGTCGTCACAGACGTTAACTCGGATTTATGATTCACTGCAGTCTTTGGTTTTCCCAAATGATCTCTGCTAGCCTGCCTACTGAAATGTTCAAAAGTTAGGAGATTAAAGGCTCTAGAAAAAAATCATGTTTCAAAAAATGCCCTGGGTGGTGCGATTTTGGTTCTGGCAATCAGGTGTTGCCAGCGGGTTTCGTCTTTCGACTTTTCGACTACGGCAGGTTGTTTTCAATTGACATGTAATTCTGCGTTCACTAGTTCTTTAAAAAATCCCAAATGCTCTCTGCCAGCCTGCTCCTTGGATCTAGAAAAAACGGATCCTTAAAACGGATTTTCTTTGAAAAAATCATTTTTCAACATTTTTGGGAGCTAGCGCGGCCCTGAATCGATCAATTGACGTTCAATTTGGCAGTAGTTGATTTCCTTCATAGCCTGTGCAAGCCTGCCCCGAAATATAATCCATTACGCTATGTATATTCCTGACTTCAGCGGCCCTTAAAAAGTTTCCTAAATGATCTCTGCTAACCTGCCAACAGTAATTTTAAATTTAAGGCAAATTTTGATGTTTCCAAAGCTGGGGTAGCCGGGTTTACAATTAATTACGCAATATAATCCTGACTTCAGTGGTCCTTGAAAAGTTTCCTAAAGAATCCCTGCTAGCCTGCCTATTGAAAATTTTGGTGGAAAAATCGGTTGAGAAACGCTGTTGCCAAAAATGTGTTTCAAAAATTCGTTTAATTCCGGGCGTGCGAAATTGAGCAATGGAGAACGCCGCAGGAGGGAAGATTAATGTTCCAAAAGGTCTTTGATTACGCAATGTAATTAGCGCCTCAGTGGTCCTTTAGCAATTTCCTAAATAACCTCTGCTTGCCTGCCTACGTGCCATTTTCAAGAAAAACCCAGACAAAATCCGCCTGCCAAAGAAGATGTTGCTAATTAAAAACTTGCGCAGTTTTAATGAATTAGGCAATAAATCATGTTGCAATGGTCCTTAAAAATTACGAAATAATCTCTGCGAGCCCGCTTTTGAGCTTGTAATAATAAAAAAATCTTTTTGGTATTAGAGGAATGTTTCAAAATTATGCATAGCTGGTGCGGACTCGGCTTTATCAATAGCAAGAGGGAGTCTCTCATTGCGAAGTAACCTCTGCTGGCTTGCCCAAGTTTCCAATGGAATATGCAGCGTAACTCTGCCTTCAATGGACCTTAAAAATTACCGAATGATGCTCTGTGGGGCGGCTACTTAACTTAAAAAAAAATCAAAAAATTCGTTATTGTTAAGAGCATGTTTCAAAATTTTGCCGGTTCATTGCCGTATTGCATCTAGCATTCCTGCCCACCCTCTTTTCGGAAAAAATCTCTGCTAGCTTGCATTTTTTCTTTAAAAAATGCTGTTTCAACGTGTCGCATATGAGACGTCGCATCGATTATAGCTACTTCAAGATGGAAAATCCTTTCCCAAACCATCTCTGCTAGTGGCCCCTCGGTTTTAATCAATTTTACAAAATAATTGTTTCTCCCACGGTCCTTTAAGGTATCCTAAATGATCCCTGCTAGCCTGCCAGCTTCCTGGAGCTTCAAAAAAATTATCCACAAAAATATTCGAAAAATAATGTTGCAAAAATTGGCCTAGCTAATGTGGCCTTGGATTTGGCAATGTCCCGCGCTTTGGTGCCGGTAAATAAACTCTGCGAGCTTGCCCCGACTTTTTAATCGATTACGCCATATAATGCTGCCTTCAACGGTCCTTTAAAAATTTTTAAATGGTGTCTGCTAGCCTGCCTACCGGAAATTGAAAAAATCTTGAGAAAAAGCATAATTTTGTAAAATTTTATTTTTGTTCCACGTTCCTTTTTTTCTGAAAAATTTCTGTTTCAACAAATTGCCAAGCTCCAAGCGGTGCGGGCTGAACAATTGGAGGACGCGTCCAGTCGGATAAAATTATTTTCCAAAGAAGTTTTTGACTATTTATTGAAATTCTTACTTCAGCAGTCCGTAAAACATCCTAAATGCCATCCGTTAGTTTAAATACTGAATTTTTTAAACTCTATAAAACCATACTTTTTAATAGATTTTACTAAGTAAATTTAAAGTAACTATATTTTCTAAAACATATTTCACTAAAAAATGGTTGTTTCAAAGTTCCAACTTTGAAGTTAACTCCGATTTATCAATCGCTATACCGCTTCTGGTTTTCCAAATAATGCCTTGCCCCGAATTTGTAAACAATTACGCTATGTAATTCTGGCTGCCGGCATTGCTTTTAAAATGTCCGAAATGCTCTCTACTAAATTCAGAACAAAAATATTATTAAAAAATGTTTAAAAATGCGGCATAGAAATTTAGGTTTTAAAACTTCACGAGACCGTCGGGCGAAATTTTTAATAGCTTACGCAATATAATTTTGACTGCAGTGGTCCTTAAAAATAGCATATTTTATTTGGCCGATCCGTTGGCCCGCTGAGTAATTGATGTTTCATGCTGTCGCATCCCAAGCGACGACTCGGATTTCTTAATTGGAACTGCGAGGGTTCATCCAAAATATTCATCGCCCAGCCCGCGCCTAGTTCCAATCGATGACGCCATATAATCCTGCC